CCAAATCCAAACCCTAATGTGTTTAGTTTTCATAAGGCACCTTTGGGAATAAATAGTTTAAATAGGATTTTGCCGGACCTTTGTGCAGGTGGGGGCTTAGAAAGAAAAACATCACATTCATTACGAATAACTACTGCGTCCCGTTTATTTAATAATTCCATGGATGAAAAGCTGATCAGAGAACGTACGTGACATAGATCTAATGCGTTATTTAGCTATGAAAAAAATAGTGCTGCACAAGAAATGGAAGTTAGCAAACTTTTAGGGCCTTCACCTTTAGAAATGCCAAATTTTGAAATCTCAGATGATATGTTGAGCAATGTAGAAGAAGAAGTATCAGATGAAGTATTGAGTAAAATTCCCATTCCAATGGAAAAGCCTTTAGGATCTAATTCTTTTCTAGATTTGAGTAAAGCTGTCTTTAACAATTGTTCCATTCATTTCACTCAGAAATAAAATATATTGGTGTGCCTGGTGTGTTATTTATTGGCTCCTTATTTACTAGGTGTGCATGCAAATAAATGTTAGGTCCTTTATCCGGTAGGATGAGGTTTTATATAAAGATTCATCCTACCTGATAAAGGACCATTTTTTTAGTAATCAACCATTGTTTTTCATTGTTTTCATTAATTAACCCCACATTTCCCTTAGACCGCAATCAAAACCCTCCCCGGGCTTTTAAGTTTGCTGGTTTTATCAGGGATAAAAGTATGTCCACGTGATGAAATGTAGTAACGTGGTCGGTCAATTAGTTTATTAATTATTCATGAGTTTTTGAAGCCGTTTAAAACACTCGAGATCGTGTTTTATTAGGTATAAAGATTCTCGCCTTCGGCTCGAATCTTTATTCCTGATAAAACACTCTCTCTCGTGTTTTAAACTATACAAAAAGGAGCAAGTGTTGCCGAAAAAGATCACGTTTTACACAAAGTGCATCAGATCAGTCCTTGAGTATGCCTGCCAAGCTTGTTTTTACTGCACTCCGAATTACCTTCTAGAACAACTTGAATCTATCCAAAGGCTGATGATGAACGATGAGAGTTATATTCCCGGATCACAGCTACAACGAAGCCTGCTTGCAAGCAAACGAGGATTCCACGAGTGAAGGAAAGGCTTGAAGACCTCTGCAAATCGATTTTTATATAAATCAGAATCAGCAACATTAACTCTATAGTCTTCATTCTGACCTGTACAGCAATCCATACGCAACAAGATTTCCCGGGGGAGGGTTGGGGGGGACTCTCTAATAAAAAAGGGCGTGGGTCCTCGTCGTCCCCGTCGTCCCCGTCGTCCTTAGGGTTTGAAATCAGTATTATGGTGATAAAGACGAGAACTCCCACCAACTGAGTTTTGTGGTCCCTTTTAGGATAAAAACCATGTAAATACCAATGATATGTTTTATGTATAATTTAATGTACACGAAATTACAAAAAGGCAAACGATTTGCATATGAAAACGCCTTCTCTTAGGGGTGAAATTTCAGTACCTCCACGCCCATATATTATCCCACAATATAGATCCATTTTAGGGGTCACTTTCAGAATTTCCGAGGAGGACACCCGCCCTTTTTTATTAGGGAGTTCCCCCCCCCCCCCCCCTCGGGTAAGATCTTCTACAGATGATG